TTTTCCTAGAGATTCGTTGTTCGCACGTCGCATGTACACCGAAAAATTGCAGTTTTGATACCCAAAAGGACGCTTTCTACGATAAACTCACCGATCTCATTCGGATGAGCCGAAGCTCCGACGTAGTTGTAATCGCAGGTGACTTCAACGAGCAAGTTGGAAAACTGAGAGTAGTAGAAGCTTGCCTAGGTGGTGGTTGTGCTCTGCCCTGCCAACGAACACGTAACGGCGATCGACTTCTTTAGTTCCGCGCAGACCATCATCTGTTCCTATCCAGTACCAGTTCACGACGGACGGCAATGTGGCGCTTCAATTCAACTGGTACGCTAGGTCAAATCGACCACACAACAATAAGCTACTGTTGGTTTGGCACAGTACAAAATTGCAGGTCCTATTGGACTACTTGCGTTGAGTCTGATCACGCATTGGTTTTGGTGCAGTTCACTCTCCAACTGACTGGCTGGTGACGAATTCAGCATACTCGGATAACTCATCATCGATTGTCTGTTCCGGCAGTTCGTGCACGCTGAATCAGAGCCCGTGCGTGAAGTAACCGCACTTCAACGTGATGATGTAGATGAGCAGTGGGATCAGATTAGGCGAGCAATACATTCCGCAGCGAATGTTGCTTGTGGATTTGAGCCTCAAGCCCGACGGATGAATTGTATATCCGATGAGTCAGTAGCACTGATGGATCAAAACGACCAATCCGATCAGCCAGGATCAAAACAGGGTTAGGTGGCACCTGTAACATCAGCTCACCAAGGACCGTGAAAGCTGGTGGGCAAGATTAGCTAGTCAAATGGAATTAACAGCTGTATCGGGGAATAGTCAAAGACTGTTTCGAATGATACGCAATATGCAATATGATCATGATCAAGTCTGGAGCCGGCTTATCGTTTCCAAGGAGCCAGCCGCAGTACAAAAAAATACGGGAGGTCGGTGAACTCCAGTTCCGCTATAAGAGGGGACCGGCTATCCACAATTGGGATAGACGAATTGATCGTTGGATGGAATACTTCAGCGAACAAATCAGTTGGCTTGGCGCTAGCCAGCCTACTTTGTCTGCAACGGAAGCTCCGTGGGCAGTGTCGTGCGATAGTTTAGCAAAAGCAAAAGTTCGGTATTACATTCAAGCTCTGCAACGAGGAACCCCCACTGATTCCAAGGTGGGAGTGAAAACTTCGCAAGTTCCATTACTAACTTACTCCGCAAAATTTGCACGCAAAAGCGCATTCCTCCATCCCATTTTTTCAGAAGGAATCTCGCAACGATTGCGATAAGCGCCGCGGGGCTAAGTTGGGTCCCAGTTGTCATCAAAGTGCTAGCCCCTGCAATACTTTGACGCCTGATTCCTATAAGAAGAACCAACATTCGTGAACTGCATTCCGGCCTGGACGTGAATGTATTGATCAAATTCTTCCGCTGCGTCAATCCCACTGTCGACCAACGATCGAAACGTTCCTTGACGTAAAAGGAGCCTTCGACTCGGTTGACCTTTATGGGCTCCCTTCTTCGAAAAAGGATGAACCAGACGTACGTTAACTTACTGAGATGACTGTTCTTACATACATCCGATCGAGTGAATGCCTATAGCAAACTAAGCAGACCGTTAATCACAAGCAGTGGCACCCAGCAAGGGTGTCTTATCTCGACATTCCTGTTCAGTTTCGTCATAGGTGAAATACTGGAGAGCACACTAAGTGACCTCCATGACGTAGGTATAGAATGGGCAGTTCGAGAAAAGTCGTGCGATTTAGAGTACGCCGGAGACAATCTGTCAGTTCCAATGTTTCAAGGATACGAAAAGTGCACTTGATAGACTAACAAGTGCTTGGAACCTTCAAAATGCAAAGTGATGCTGCAAGACTAGGTGTCGCTTGATCCAGCTTTTAAACTAAACACCTAAGAATTAGTTATAGTGGATTGCTTTTCCTACTCAGGCAGTTGTATGACTAATGACAGTAGCACATTAAAGGAGATAACCGCCCGCATTTACGAGACTCGAGCTGCATATGCAGGACTGAAATATCTTCAGTAAGGATGAACGGTCGTGTATATTCTGCTAGCGTTCGTTCCGTCCTGTCTTATGGTTGTGAGAACCTGAATTTGGGAGTAGAAGATATCTCTCGACTAGATGTTTTCCATTCTTGGTATCTGCACAGTTTAGCCCACGTGAAATGGAGCGAACGGGTTGGTTATCTGGAGGTAATTCGTCGTGTGCTTAGAATTTTATCAGAGATAGACCTGCATGAACATCGAGTTTCGATTAGTACACTTCGCTGGATACGACAAGTATTCCGTATGCCCAGGTGTCATCCGCCGCACCGCGCTTTATTCACCGTAGCCGTTCTGAGCTGGACGAAACAACGTGGAGATCAACAGATGACGTGGGGACGAGGCATGAAAAAATGCACACAGCCACTCGACAGATAAAGTGTGGTCCGAAAAACTCCGGAACCGGTTGGTTGGAGACATTAAAGGACAGCGCAGCAAACCAACAGCAGTGGCATTCTTGTTGTCATTTCTCATCCGGCTAGAATGGTTGAAACGGTATGTATGCATAGTTTGATTGCGTACTCTCTGTGTGTTGAGGTTCACCTTCTTCCCTTCCCTCAAAATAGATCCAATATCTGACCATCTTGAATATTACCAAAAACCTTGNCTTGTATGCACTGGAGCGATCGGTGAAGTTCGCTTCACTGTATTTCACTGTACGATGATGATGATGAGGCATAGGCAAAACATGATCGAGCCATCGAAGGAGGTTAAGAAAGATTTACTCTTTAGGAGAACGACTACCAGAAACCAAGACATGAAGACAAACCTCATCATTGTGGGCCCAATGTTCCCATTGGCTCGGCTGGAGTGATTCTACTTGCGTCCATTCGCCGACCTCGGCATTTTGTTTGCGAAAGTTTCATCACCAGCCGAGGCGACCATGGATATTATTCCATTAATACCTAGAAGTCTCGAAGACATGTTTGATCCTTTGAAATCACTATTTAAAGTATATGCATTTCTCACTTTTTTGGTTCATAAAACCTGGCGACTCGAAGGGTGTTGGCACGGATGTTAACCATCATAGACCTTTAAGTCTGAATCATTCCGTACTATACGACCAATGCTACACATAGGCCTACCGAACATAGGTACCAAAAAAATTTCAAAGGGATCACTGGAAATATTGTTCAGTCATGCGCTGCTTCTCGACCTCGGTGGATCCCCTCCTAATCGACGATGATGCAAAGTAAGTTTCCTTCATTCAATTTTGTGAAGGATCAGCGAAGGAAGCCAAGAAGTAGTGCCTTGGCCATTCTCAGTGGACGTTCCAGAATATTCCTATCACGTTGCAGCTATGGGTTCCATGCTTGAATGACGTACTCTATGCGGGATTGAATGTAGGCTGATAAAAATCGTGGGAACAGCGTAGGTTCAAATTTGCCACATACTCGCTTTACCAAACGAACATGTCCTACAGCGGTGAACAACGCTCTGGAGCAGTTTAAAGAACAACTTAGGTCGTCTTGGACAATGACACCGAGATCCTTCTCATTCGAGACATACGGAAGTTGTTGATCTTCCAGGAAATATAGAAACCGAGTTTTGTTGCGAAGAGATACGATCGCATTAAATTCCATGTCATTTTCGTTCAAAACCACTGACAGGCAGCATTAAGTATTCTCTGAAGTGCTAGCGAGTCCTCTGGTTTTGTCCCCGTTTTTCGTATTTTTGCTTCGTTTGCAAACATTAATGTCTGTGGCCCAAGACTGTCCGTTAGGTTGTTTATACAAAAAAAGGAAAAGTTGAGGGCCAAGCACGGCTCCCTGTTGAACTCCTCGTGCTACGCTGATGGGATCAGAAAATGACCCAGAAATCCCAAGTCATGGTGCGTTGTCGAAAAAATTCTTCTCTATCCAACCCAGTACAAATCCCCATATTCCATGACTGTGTAGTTCCCTCATGAGCATTTTATGGTTCACTCCCCTTGAATGCGTTGGACAAGTCGAGGTACACGACGTGCATTGCATCACCGTGATCAGCCGCTTTTGTCCACTTTTCTCGGGCTACTTGTGATTCCGATCAGAGTTCGATGCGGTAGCATAACTATCGAAACCTTGCCGTTTATGGACAGCAGATTCAATAGCAAGTTGATCGAAGAAAGATTAACGAGACAAATGGGGGCGATAGAGCAACCCACGTGCTTATCCACGAGCACTGATATTGCCGTGTTTGAAACTTCAATTTCGGTCGAATCTTGTGATGGATCAAACATCATCATGATCAAACGGGCTTGGATGAAAAATCAACTTCCCAAAATCGAAAGAGCCCAACCTACAACGGAAGAAATGAACTTATGAGAGCAGCTTGAGATTGGCTAGTTCTCCTACACCTTTCATAAGCGAGTAGAATAGTTAACTGGTTCTGATGTTTCAGCGGCCCATTGGGTATTAGAGCAGCGGTTGGGCAGGATCGACGAGCCTTACTCGGTCAGAACAGCACTAGGATGGAGTTTAATGGGTTCAACTTCACGTTCGTTGGCAAAATGGTGTTAGGCTTCAACAGTGAATGATTTGGAGGGAGGGATGAAACAGTTCTACAATCGTGAATTCACGGAATTAAAGGACAGCAGGGTTAAGGAAGTCCGCATTATCCGTGGTCTAACGATCTGTGAAATTTGCCGGTGTTCATTTCCAGGTCACCTTTCCAAGGAAACGATTTTCCTTATCATTCTTGCAACGGTTTCATTTTTGTTTCTCGTTCAAAGAACCCCGAGAACCGTTTAAGTGAGCATCCGAAATACTGCGAGACGACATAAACCTATTTTCCCGTAACTGTCCACTAGATATCTGACGTCATTCATTTCTTGTCAGTGTGCAGTATTGGAAAATCTTCACCACCCCCGGTGGCTTCTGCGTCCATAATCGATTTTTCTCGAACAAACAAACTGGATGAATCTATACTAAGTCTTAAATTTCGATATGCGTAGCAGTACAACAAAAAAAGGAAAATCCGTGACACTCCCGATCTTTCTATGAATCTTAAATCGATCGATGTAAAAGCCCAATGGGATAAGAAAACCAACCGCCTATAAGTATTTTACATAATAGAACTTTGGTTTTGGTAAATAGATAGGGGCATGTGTAGGCCAATGATCTGGCTTGTTAGTGAAAGGTTTTGCTAGGGTGTGAATATGCATTGGGGGGCGAGAATGAAGCGAAAACAGTTCGTAGTAAAAAATGATAGATTAACGGCTGCTGTGCCTGAAAACATGAATAGATACCATCATTTTACAAAAGAGAGCCGGTCCTGCAGTTCAGGTAGACAATAAGGAGAAGAAAAAGTAAAGAGTGTAAGTGCTGGGACAGGAGATGAATCGGGATTGTGTTCGACCAGAAGTGTAATCCCAATTTTAGGCGATAGTGATGTGGTCTGGTATGCAATCTATAACCAGACCGATGTGATACGGATAATGAATGGGTCTTGAACGGATACAACCGAGAAAATAGCTGTGTTCTATTGAATTCGAATGGGGAAGCGACCACTCGTAAGAGCGGTGGTGAAAATCGAACAAAACCGACGGAGCAATATGATGCTGACCCACTCATTATATGTGACCGCTGCCGACCGGAATATCACATTCCGATAAATGATATTCCTCTGACTAATATTCGAAATCGATCCATTCCAACATACGGTTTAGGGATAGCAGTCTACATTAATCACCAGATCGAAACATTCAGAAGAATGGGGGGAAATGTAAAAAAACAGGATGGGAAATAATAATAATAATAATAATAATAATATACAGCTTACTTCAGTATACAGAAAGTTATCCAAACGACGTGCTATCAGTTGCCACATTCTAGTGAACACCTTTGGATGCACGTTTTTGGCAAGATGGAACAGCCAATCACGAAGGTTCATTAGCATGGCGGATGCTGCNTGCTGCTGTGGACCAATGCATACCGGATGTGTCCACATTGATTCCTCCGGTGGAACTGGAAAGCGGACTGGGTTGAAGCCAGACATCCACTGAACGAACGTACGGGTGAGCACGACGCTGCAGTTCGGTCATCACATTGGAGACGGTTTCTTCGACCATGCGATCAATCTCTTTCTGATATATGCGTATTAACTGTATCCGGGAGAGACAAGCAAAGATGACCACGTGTGTACGTGTTGCTAGATAAACGCATCTTCCCGCTCGGATTAGCGCACACATGATTTAACACAACAGCAAAATACAGCGAACGTGAAAAACGACTATTTGACAGCCGATAATTGGTTTGTAAGAATAAAATCCCAACGACCCTAGCTAAGCTGAAAAGGTGGGCGCGAAACATAACGGACACATATCTGCCAAACACGGGTAAGGCCTGGTACCCACCCCGGTTGGGACATCACTCGTGCAGCGCTACTTTACTCAAAGCTGGCTGCAGTTGTTTAGCATTAAAAACACATTTTCATGGCGATCATTTGTATCGTCAATCGCGTGCTCGAAAAAGAAAAGTGCTGTCGGCTGATCTCACAATTGACAAGGATTGTTTTGGGGAGAGGAGGCGGGGTTATTGTCTACACAGAGTATAACGCTATGTGACAGGTTGTACATGAACTTTCACCTTAGATTTTGGTCATGTTAAGCTGTATCGTTTCGGATATCACGAAGGTGTAATCGGAGTTCGATTACGATACATTTTGTCCATAAAACTTGGGTAAACGGGGGCAGGAAAATGAGAAACGACCAAACGGTCAACGTAAAAACTTCAGGTGGGGGATCAACCTTGAGGAACTAGCCAGTAATGAAGGCTATGTGATTCTACAGACCATGCTTGCGTAATCCCGGAGAATAGATCCTAGCAGAGGAAAACTCAAAACAGTCGTTCACTCGTTAGAACGCCGGTTATGTAACCTTATCAGCTGGATATAACTGAGGTGTTCCAAAGGGAATGCCGGTTTTCACTTAGGTTCAGTATTACTCAATGCATAAAGCGCTATGAAGTCCACGTTGTTTTACGGCTGATGGTTAATTCTGCAAATCACAATAATGACATCAGATGAAAAATTCATAGAATGATGCTCCAGTAATGTGGATGAGTTAGTGGGTGACTGTTAAGTCGTAGGCTTCCGTTGTGAGGAGGAACATTGCATCATCCGTTTGATTCACGCAACTAGTTCAACATCCTACCCAGTTAAAAACGTAACAGACGAGTGGACGCGTGATCGATCTCCGCAACAGTGATCGTGTTAAGATAGAACAAACAAAACACCATGAATTATATCGGCAAAGATTGCATTGCTGGATCCCCGTAGTATCATATCTCCGGACATGTTACTACAGGCAGTAGCTAGATAAAAGTACAAAAAATGATTAAAAGCCGTGCATGTGGTTCGAATCGCAGGGGGATTACGAAGACTGTGGCGAAAAGAACAACTATAATTTTTCCCATTGCAAGTCCTCCTAGAGAAGTTCTACATTGGTCGCTGTGTTTAGCATGATCTTGCTTTTTCTCTGATAAAACCAATCTAGTAATTTGCGCTACAAGGCGTGCGCTCCGTTCCGCTTATTTATAGACTAATAACATCCTGTTTTGCTCGTTCTGCGTAGGCATGGGAAAGCCGTCTGAAGCCAAACGAAGTAGTTATAAAAATGGGCACTGGTAACAAACATCTACAATGCAAAGTTGATTCACAGTCTGAACGGAAGCTTTTATAACACCTCTAGCAATGTGGTTTGCATAAAGCGAATGTGGGACGGACGCGTCGGCCGCTTTCAATCACATTTTGTTCANGCTGTGGCTGTTTTTTTCCAAATCAACCGTCCCCTCAGGCAAAATCGGTTTACAGTGCGCAATCGCAATCCAACCGAATCCCAAACATGCAACCTGTTCACCTCGGGGCGGGCTGCTTGCGATCCAGTGTTTCGCCTGTCAAAACACTCCGGGCGGCAGAAACATTGATGCGCCAGAAAGCATACAAAATTTTTGTGAATTTGACGTCTGCAATGCTGACCGAGGTGTACCAGTAATAAGAATGAATTCGAGGTGCTTACATGATTTAGGACAGTCTAAAGTCGAACAGGTTACTTGGATACTCTTCTACACACACACACACACACACACACACACACATTATATATATATATATACAGATGATCAACAAGGCAAATTCTTTGTGTGAACCAGAGCCTGCTTTAATGTGGGCGATCAGTTTTCAAACACCCTACTAGGATCAAAAAGAGGGAATAAATAAATCCACCGAGCATCGAAGTGTTGCAGAAGTAGTGTGCGAGAGAAAGCTTGTATTACGCCAGATGAAACCCATATGTAGACAGCTACAACCCACTAATTGGATTTTCCTGATTCACGATATTCCGGATTGAAAAACCACTGAGACAACCACATCGCTAACGACAATTTCTGTGACCAAGAATCCATACGGGGGTGTTTAGAGCACGAAAGAAGCTGAGGATGAAGAAACATGCGTCAAAATGTCGCCAAACGGTCGAGAAGGAAAGGACTAGTCCAAGGTTCATCACTTATTCTCATCTTCAATCCACCTTCGTACAGCAGTATACCCAAACTAAACGGGGACAGCTTCTGCTCAAATAAACAGGCGTACAAGAATATTCCAAATCGGGGGTATATATTGGTGACTCTCATGGACCGGTTGGCCTGATTTGAATGATCATGATAGAGAATGGTTTCCATCGTTGTTTTTTCGTTCGAAACTCTGCGGAGAACTCATAGAGTTACGGCTAAACAAAAGGCTTAAGCTATCAGAGCAGTAGTGCAAACTAACCAGAAAAAAACTGTTTACAAACAGAGACAATAGGACTGGTGTAGATCACAAATTCAAACAACACGGAACGTATCTGATGCGAAACAACTCGGTCCATGTATGTGAACGGATGAACAAGTCAAAATCAGTTCAGGGGCAAAGCAGACAGTATTTTTTGGAAAAAAAACATCGGTCTTGGAAGGAGAAGCCTAGATCAAGGCTTCTGTTGAGGTTGTGAAATCGACCGGATGTTGTTGAAGAAGATACTTGAACACACTCAAATCGACAATTTCGATCAGTTTGGATGTGAGGTAACTGGAAGTATGGCAACATGCCTCCGAACGCCTCAGCATAGTCGGGGTGGGTATCTTGCATTGTGGCTGGTCACCTTTTCCTCGCATCTCATGAAATGCTCCTGTACGACCAAGCGTCTCAAACAGCCTCAGCTGAGGAAGCCCTACTCACTGCCTTCCCGTGGTGGATGTCTTCCCACTAAAGTGAGAGGACGAAAAGCCAATATCCAGGGCTATAACCGGGTTGGTGAACCACCACTGGTCGATCACCTAGGGGAGCTGGCTAAAACCCTGATTCTAAACCAACCAAGAAGAGGCGTACAAACCACACTCACATCTTTTCGGTAGTGGCAGTGGTCACCAGCCTGATTGGGCATTGAGGTGTATTGGGCACTTGGACGTTCGACCCCGCCCAAAGGGTGTGATCCAATGAAGTGGACACCGGCCCTTAATGGACTGCAGACTCTGAGCCCCGTCCTGTTGTCTTGCAGGTCTGGCTTTGTAGCCGAAGGTTTCGGCTGGGGACCCCGAGGCTATCCCCCTTCCTTGGTCAAGGCAACCGGGAAGTAACATGCCCACACAACCTATGAACACATTCTACATATATTTTTGTTTATGTGTTGTGGTACATTGGCCAGTTTTCTGTAATTGATTATGTTTGGAAATATAATAAATTAACCGGAGAATTCAAACTCTGGATGCATCAGAGAAAATGTACCAATAATGCGTTTGAATGAACACAAACCTTGCAGTAAGTGAGAATTGCGCGCCAAAATGAGGCCGGGAAAGTAGTTCGCCAAACGGAAAAAATATTGCATTTTGCACCAATCACTGACAATTCCAAGCGCAAATGTGCAATAAAAGTTATATCGAATAAGGGGGAAAACGTGGTGAAAATAGGACTGTGTTGCTTACATTGTTCACGATGACAAATTTCGCAACAGAAACGAAAACTCAGTAAAGCCCCATTAGAGGGAAAACCTGTCAGATCTTACGCGGACTATCGCTACTCCAGGCAGTTGGGAAAGATGGCTTTCCAAATGGGTACCCAAGACTTTAGAGCACGGCATACATAGCGGCAGCCCACACCGACGAAGGGGTTTTTCCTTAGGAACCCTAACCGGAGCCTTCGACTCAAAAGTCTGACCCACAAGGC